ATTTTTCTTCTTCTTCTCCTGTCCCTCTCACTTTAATCTCTTGGAGGATGGAAGAATGAAATGAAAGTGATGAGGAAATGGTGAAGGGAGGGTCCCTATTTATAGAAAATGGGGACTGTCGGATTTGCACAAAGTGGTAAAATCTGATTAAGAGAGAGAAAGTTAATGAAAAAAATAAGTGATGTGACGACTGACGGATGTGATCGATAGACAGACAATGCAACTTTATGGCGGTGCAAAAAAACGGAGGCACGCCACCCAATTTACAGCACCACGTTGCCCAAGTTACAACGACACACCACCCAAGCCAACAGCGCACGACGCCCAAGGGGGTGGCATGCACTACCCAATGCAGTTGCATGCTGCCCCAAATGAACGCGCGCTGTAGGCCTAGCCAGCACGTGTGCAAGGTGCTGCACACATGCCTACTATGCAGACGACGAACGCACATGGCACTCTTGCGGGATTGTACTGGTCTTTTCTCCGTTTTTCCTGAAAATATTTGTAATGACCCCGAAAATATCTAAAGGGAATAAAAGATAATTAAAATGCAGAAGCGTAATAAATATTCAGAATTTACATTTCTTACACAAATAACTTAAAGTACCAAACAGTGTTGCAGAATTCACCATTTTGAAAGAAATACAAGAAATAAGGAAATAAACCAAAAATAAAGAAATCTAGCATTTACTTGCAATCTTCTTGCCGATCGAGCTCTAGAACCTGGTCCTTTTGATCTGAAATGGTTAAATAAGGGATGAGTTACACTAGCTCAGTAAGGATATCACACTATATCACCGACACAAAAATAAATATTGGTAAAATCAAAAACCACTAATGGAGTACTAAATTTAATGAAATTCATTTATTAATCATAATAATCATTTACCATTCACTTACTGTAGTGTGATTCATAAAAATAATCTATATAGATAATAATATTATACAGATCACGATTCCATGTATAATCGGCAATCATAGCACATTTTATAAATCTATATACATCATCAATAAATCAAACAATAACTGTAACTCTTTTTACCAGCCTACTCGTATCCATTGGGGTTCATAGGGATGTCCCTGCTACATGTGAACCCTTTTATTTAACATTCTCATTTACGGGCTGTCCCCATATCCCGTCCGGTATGAGCGCCAATTTACCAAACCTCAATACCCCATCAGGCATGAGGGTGAAGCGAGCCGTCCTCATACCTCATCTGGTATGAGTGCTAAATTATCAAGTCTCTATACCCGGTCCGGTGTGAGACAACATTCACGGTATGGTTTCCTATGTCCCCGCTTTGTCCACCATTTCTCAAGATATCCAGTAAGGCTGTCATTTTATTTATTTATTTCATCACACAATTTTTACCGTTTAACCTTCATTTTTTCCAATTCAGCAGTAAACACATAGAATAAATTATACACGCATTCAAAGCCATACAATCAATTAATAAGGTACTAACATGCATCTGAATTATAAAACAATCAATAAAGTAATAGTAGACAATTTCTGGTTCTGGCTCCATTAGCAATCCGTAATTAATTATTTACAATTTCTAAATTCACACAAATATTGTATTATTATTTATTTATACTTCAATTCCATGATAGGGAATAGGGTGAGAGATCCTTACTCGATTTGATGCCCAAAAAGCTAAGCTGTTCAACTGTACCTACGGGCGATTCTCGGGTTTCCTGAATTTTTTTTTCAGAAAATAAAATGCGCTAATAGTACCTACAAATGTCCCAAATACAATCCAAAATAAGTTCCACGGCCCACTTGGCCAATTTTGAAATTCCGGCATGACGGCTCTGCCGTGTTACAACGATGGCGGTTCGGCTGTTTTCGGTCGTTTTTGGTCAAATTTGGCTAATTTCGCATCGATACCTGTGAAAAAATATGTAAAAGGCCTCGGTTGGCCCACAAAATACAAAAAATCGAAATTCACCGACGGCGGGACTCTTCGATGCGGCGACTCCTCCGGCTCACGTTGCGATTGGGTGTTTTACTCTAGTCAACCTATAGAGAAGGACACAGTAATCACAACAGTGAAAAAATTACACATAACAGGAATCG